CAAGGATAGCATTATACTACTCCCCTTGACGTAGAAAACGACAACAGATAGCTTCATATCTAGTCACAGCTTTCAGTTTGAGTATTGGTATCTATTTATTATATGATCTAAGATTTTAGTAAGCTTTGGAATTTTATTATTTTTTGACAATCCAGAAATGGTTCAGAACTTTTGTTTTAATTTCCTCCATATTTCCCGTTTTTAATAAATTTTTGTGTGAAAAATGTAAAGTGAACCATCATGTAACCCTCCTCATTCCGTCGTACTTACGCGACCACGACAAATTTGGCTGAAAAAGATATCGACCTTTTATCGTTAAAGCGACACGGGGAATGGAAATCCTCCAGCGTAGCAGAAGGATACAACGACGGCTCGATCTTCAATAAAAAAAAAAATCGCCGAAATCGTCCAAAGCTCATCTACGACAAATGAAGTCAAACCAATGAGTCAGTTTCACTCCCATAAACTTCATTTTCACTCCCATCAACTTCATCAACTTAGTTTCACCAATTTATCGTCAATTAATACCGGAAAAAAGAAAAGCTAGTTCTGCGGCTTTAACAAGAGACGAGATTCTAAAAATCATCCAGAATTTTGACGAAAATACGCCCGACGGCTTACAGAAATTTTTTTATTAGATTGCAGCTGTGGAGCTGGCCTGGCGTGGAAATGAAGCAGCATCATGTGTGGTTAATTTTTTTAAAAAGGAATTGAATAATTACGGCTTACCAACGGGTCGCTTGGAGTACAACACAATTTTTGGAAAAACAGCTCAAGGAGGTGAGAAAAATCTGGTCGACAGCAAGTGGCTGACACCAAACAAAGAAAATGAAGATTTGTGTCCAGTGAGGTTGTATAAAAAAATGATGTTCAAGCGCACCTCGAGCATCAAGACGAACCGGTTATTTTTAACACCAAATAATAATTGGAAGGAAACAAATGTTTGGTACAAGAACTGCCCTGTTGGCGTAAATCAGATAAGTAAATGGACACGTTTAGGTGCAGAGAATGTTGGAATAGACACAAAAAAGGCAAGAATCACCAACCATTCTAACCGTTCATCCGCAGTGAGTGTATTAGCAAATGCTGGTGCAAATTTGCAAGAAATTATCAAAGTAACTGGTCATTCTACACCAAACTCGTTGAAACCAAACTTAAACCTCAGCGAACAGCATCATACCAAAATCATCAATGAAATTCGGAACAATCAAAATGTTTCGTCGTCATCAGTGCCATCAACGTCCTCCCTTCAACAGCAGGAACCTCTTAATACAAATAATATTTATTATAATAACTGTATTTTTCATTTTCATAATAATTAAAGATAATTTATTGTAAAAATATACTGTCAATTCATTATATAATCGTAACGAATATCACTCGAGCATTAGAAAATAATCTCAATACTAACCTCTTAACTCGACAATAATCAGAAACACCACTCGACCTTCGCTCTCGTGGTTTTTCAGATTACACTGATCAACACTATGTTTGTCACACGAATTTTGTAAAAAAATTCGAGTATCCTTATCTCACCTCATGACAAAAACAAAAAGTTTTTGTTCCTGTCACGCGTAGTTTTTCTGTAATGGTCACCTCTTTCGTTTCACCTTCTAAATGTGTTTGTATTTAAAACTTCTTAGTCCTTACTAGCTTTAAGGACCTTATTCAAGAAAGTGTAGTTTCTTAAACTGTTAAAATGCCGCGAAAGTGTATCAACCACCCGGACGAGTTTTGTTATGTGTGCGGTGAAGTAACTTTTCACTCCCAACGGAGAAATTTCACGCCGTTAGTCTCTAAATGTTACTTGGAGTATTTTGGTTTCCCTGTGAGGCATCAGGACAAGTCTTGGGCCCCACATATCTGCTGTTTAACATGTGTTAGGCTTCTACTGGGTTGGGCGAAAGGATCTGGACACATGCCGTTTGCTGTTCCGATGATTTGGTCGGAACCCAAGGATCACATCAGTGATTGTTATTTTTGTTTAACTGTTGTTAAGGGTATAACAACTAAGTCAAAACACACTCTAAAGTACCCCAACCTACCATCTGCAAGAAGACCAATTCCACACAGTGTCGAGTTTCCTGTTCCAACATGTCCAGATACTTTAGAAAATGAAGAACTTGTCTCTAGTGAAAATGATGACTTATTAGCTTGCGACCCACCTTATGAACCGAGTACTTCAAAAGAACCACATTTGTTAACGCAGGGTGATCTCAATGACTTGGTGCGTGATTTGAAGTTATCTAAAAAGCAGGCAGAACTGTTGGGCTCAAGATTAAGTGACTGGAATTTACTGTCTTGCAATACAAAAATTACCTATTTTCGAAATCGTAACGACGAATTAAAGCCTTATTTTTCCCAATCGGGCAATTTGGTCTACTGTAATGATGTTTGTGCAGTCATGAATTTGTTAAATTTTGAGTACGATTCAAGTCAGTGGCGACTCTTCATTGACTCCTCAAAGGCTAGTTTGAAAGGAGTGTTGCTACACAATGGCAACAAACGTCCATCTATACCTGTAGCTCATGCCTCCAAGAGAAAGAGTCTTATGAAACAGAAGTTTCTTCTAGAAAAGATTGAATATAACAAATATTCATGGAAAATTTGTGGAGACTTGAAAGTCATTGCTCTTTTGTTGGGAATGCAGCTTGGTTACACAAAATTTTGTTGTTTCATTTGTGAATGGGACAGTAGAGATAAAAAAAATCATTACGATAAGAGTGGCCCAAACGAAGATCACTAACATCGGGAAAAATGAATGTTACTAATACACCTTTAGTAAATCCTGAAGATATATTTTTGCCACCTCTTCACATAAAACTCGGCCTTATGAAAAATTTTGTAAAAGCAATGGACAAAAGTGGTGTTGGATTTTTATACCTTAAAGAGAAATTTCCCACGATCAGTGATGCTAAGATTAAAGAGGGGGTATTTGTAGGTCCCCAAATAAGAGAGTTGATAAAGGATAAGATCTTTGAAGAAAGGTTAAACGATACTGAAAAGCCAGCTTGGAAATGTTTTGTCAATGTCGTACAAAACTTTCTAGTTACTACAGGGCGGACAACTATAAGGACTTAATTAATGAACTTTTGGCGACATACAAAACTTTGGGGTGTAACATGTCTTTGAAGATACATTTCTTGGACTCTTATTTAGATTTTTTTCCAAGTAACTTAGGTGCAGTGAGTGATGAACACGGTGAAAGATTTCACCAAGACATTGAATGATATGCATAAAAATTAGTAAATACTTAATACTGAAAATTTGAAGCATATACTAGTGTTTATATGCATAAAAATTAGTTTAAACTGAAAAGTATATACTACATGCTAGCTAGGTTAAAATTTTTCCAGCATTTACTAAATTTTCCAGTAAATGCTCAGATCAATATGCATAATAAATAGTATTTACTTGATTTCACAAGTTAAAACTTAATGTTTTTCAAGCTGCTGTATGAGATGCTTGAAAACAATTTTGGGTAAGTTTGGTGTTCTATTTTTTGGAAAATTCTAACCTGACCTGTTTTTGAGTAAATTTTGGGAGCCTGTTTTTTTTTTTTCAAAAATTTAAAACAATCTTGAAGTTCTAGGTATTCCTGTTTGGAAAGATTTTGAAAATGCTTTGCAGCCCCTAGTGTCTTTTCTTATAATAATTTAATTAAATATCTTAGAGAATACGTCATTTGTGAAAAGCAGTATTATCTTAATAGGTACTAGCCCCACGTACTCGGCCTCTCTTTTCTTAGAGGGTATGTCATTTGCCAAAATCGGTCTAATTTTAGCAGGTATTAGTAGCACCCACCCTCTCTTTCTTTTCTTAGAGGGTATCACATTTGCAAAAATCACTCTTATCTTAGCGGTACCAGCCCCGCCCACCCACCATCTCTTTTCTTAGAGGGTATGTCATTTGCCAAAATCGATCTTATTTTAACAGTTACTGTTTTATTTATTCTAAGAGGAATTAAATCAAATTATCATGAGTCGTGAATTGATTGACGTGAATAAAGTTCAAAATGGCTCAATTCATGCTGCCCATTCGGCGACGAAAAATGTATAAGGCTAGAAGGCAGAGTAATTATCGAAAGATGTTTCGGTCAAGTGAAAAAACGATTTCCAATTCTGATGAATTATCTTAGGGTTCGTTTGTCTAGAATACCAAAATTGATAGTTTCTTGTTTTGTTCTGCATAACGTTTCTAAATTTGTAAATGATGTAAACGACTTTCCTGATATTCCTCTTGAAGAAGATGATGAAATTGTAGAACACGAAAACCACAATCCAATTCAAGGAATTCAACGCAGAAATGAATTGCCTCAAATTTTGTATGCCCAAAGATAAAGAACATTTTTTTTTACTAACATATTTATTTTAATAAAACAGAAACAATAGAAAAAACTCTTCTAACGACGAACAAAATTATTCCCTTTCTTTTTTATTCTCAATTTCTTTTTGTTGCATTTTTATTAATTTTAATTGTTCCAATAACACTAGCCTTTGTAACTCGGTAAGCGATAAACCTCTAGTTTCATCCGTTTCTGCTGCTAGTTCTGTAGATGAACACTTTCTTTTGTTTTGTTCTTGCTTATTACTCTTTTCGGCAGATTCTATAATTTCTGATTCAGATTCAGAAGAACTCATTTTAATAGAATAGGGGGATTTGTGTAGGTCTCACTTACAAAATACGCACACACGGCTTTAATGTCGGGAAGATTTTGTCATCATTGAGTGACACCGCCTATTTTTTTTTTATTCTAAGTATTTACTGGAAAATTTAAAGTATTTACTTAATAGTAAAAGTATAAGTTTATGCATACGAATTTTAGTAAGAACTTCTACTTTTAGTATTTACTATTGAGCATTTGCTTTTACTTAAAGTTTTTACTTTTCAGTAAATACTTAATTTTATGCATATACTCAGGATCACGAAGCAATGCGTACACGTCATGGATGACGTAGATCCGTTACCAACACTAAATCAAAAATACGCGCTGCAATACGTGGCAATACGGATCAAAATCGATCAATTTGGGGGAAATTATATTGGTACGACTGATAGCGAAACATATGCTAAAGTTTTATCGATTTCACAAGTGTCATTGGTGTCAACTTTGGTTATGTTGTGTTATTGTTTGATTTTTCGCGTTTTTCTACTTTTCTGCTCGTGTAATCGTATCAGTTCTTTTCAGAACTATAACAGTTCTTTATAGAACTCCAAGTTAACTGTCCTGTACCGTGGTACGTGTCGCTTGCTTGAACGTAAACATTCCACCATGCCGAAGCCCTTGCACAAAGATGTAAAGCAAATGGACGATAATTTAGTGGACTATTTTGCTAAAGAACGCGATAGCGGGGAACCTCTTTTACCACTAACAGCTGTTCAAGACGTAAGTAGGTGTATTTTATTACAATTACTAATGCAGTCACATTGTACAGAGGGTTGCTGCTGCTCTGGGTGTATGTGTGCGAACAGTGAACTCCGTGGTACAACAAATAAAAACCGGAGAAGGTGTACATTCTCCCAAAAAATAGAGACCCCCGAACAAAGCAAGTGTGTGATATTAGCACTTCGGAGCAGTGTGCTATTCGAGAATGCTTATATGGAATGGTCGAAGAAAGTATGAATTTGATGCGCACACCTTATAGATACTAACGACTATTTTACAGAAATACATGTTACACGATCGCCATTAATTGATTGCTTGAAGGAGAAACATATATTTGAGGGTTCTGTGAGCTCGTTAGGAAAAATTTTACATTCTCAATTGGGTTTCGTTATTCGCCAACCAGTGTACGGAAGCGTCTTATGGAATTACAACATGTTGTTCATGCAAGAACCAATTCTTACGTGAATACATGCACAATCAGCAGAACCCAAATTCTTTGCCATGTGTATATCTTGATGAAACATGGATATTTGAAAATGGTTCGGTAGTTAGGTCATTGCAAGACGATAGTGTCATAAGTATCAGGATGTTCAAAGTAGAAGGGAAAATTTAGTAATGTGTCAGTTTCACGTTAGTTATTTATTCTTCTCACTATATTTTAGGTATATTGTATTACATGCAGGTACAAGCAATGGATTTATTGATGAAGCAGCGCTAGTATTTTCTTCTAATACCAAAAATCCAGACTATCATGGCGAAATGAATCAACAGAATTTTCTCAAGTGGTTTCAATTGCTCATGAACCTTGAAGAACCATCACAGATTATTATAGACAATGCAAGCTACCACAGTACCTTTGCAAACAAATGTCCCAGTGGTTCATGGAAAAAAGCAGAAATTCGTGAATGGCTTTAACAACATGACATAAGTTCAGATTCACAGCTGTTAAAAACGGAACTTCTTCATTTGGTTGCACAGTAATGCATATACTATTCTCTATCGTTTCACTTAAAATATCATGTTTTTCAGAAATAAACCTCCAAAAACGTATGTTGCCGTGAATTGGGCCAACAGAATGGCCATAGAGTATTGCGATTGCCGCCATATCATTGTGTGTTTAACCCTATAGAAAATACTTGGGGAATTACTACAAATTTTTATTCCAAACACATTGGGCGTGATGGTTATGGTCAAAAAATTCCGTGAAAATGTGGAAAGAAGCGTTAGCACATGTCACGCCCACAATGTGGAAAAATACTGTTGACCATATGAATAAAATAATACGGGAGTGGTGGGAACGGGAATTAGTATTTGACCGTGAAGAGATTGCGCCGTTTATAATCGACATTAACGAAGATTCACATTATAGTTTTAGTGATTATGACAGTGAAGATTCTAATACTGCAGAGGGCATTCAGCCACTGTAACATGTAGGTTATTTTCCATTACCATCCTAATTGATTGTACTAGCGGCATGTTCTGCTGATGTCTTTTATAATCACACTATCACTTCACTGGCCAAATATACAAATCACTGGTCAGACGACGACGTTGTGCAACATGCATACTTATTATTGTTTATACTTTACTTTTGTATCTATTCCATGTCAATAAAGTAACTTATTCTGTAGATGTGACGTGCCTATTGTGGCATTGAAGACGGTAAGCATATTTCTCTAACTTGAAGCCTGTCACAACTGTTCAATGCTGTCTGTTTGAGACGTATGTTAACATTCTCGTTGGTAGCTTTAAGTACAGTATGAAGCCTTGTACCACCCTCCAAGTATGTGTTTAACACCCAATTGTCAGCAGTTTTTACCAGCAGTCAATGCAAAAATGAACGTTCTTAAAGCCAGTCATTCACGTTCCAACGCCGGGGTACGATTGTATTGGATACAACTGCTGTACAATTTTGCTGAAAAGCAGCAGTACACACACGTTACGACCTTGCAGTTAAAAATTTGCGATCGTGGTGGCAACATGTCCGAAGAAAATGGACTTTTATACCTGCTTTCACGGTTTGTATAACATACACTGTCCCCACACGATTAAGTTTCCAACCAATACAACACGATTGTACTGCTGCAGACAGACTTGTTCACCAACCGTCCACATCCAACCGATTTGCTTGATCGCATACACAGATGTTCGAAAACACTTCAATTTTGTCATATCCTACACAATTGTACCGCGGCGTTGGAACGTGAGTGGCAGGCTTCAGTGACTAGGAACACGTGAAAGGGGTTACAGTCGTGATCTTTCCTGTGCCTGAGTTTGTAATTCATAGCGTCTATGCAGCCTGCAGCATGCCCTTGTATGCTGAAACACTGCAAGTGTAGCTTATTTCTAAACTGTTGCTTCACACTAACGGTCTTCTCATGCTATAATCATAAATAGAACAAACCAAAACAATAACAAGCCGACATGTTTGTTGACAGTTTTCAAACCGATTCATTTGTATAATAAACGTGGTAGACGCATGACGTCATACAGAGTCCGTGACGTGTACGCATTGCTTCGTGATCCTGACTTATATCAGCCATTGCTTTGATTGAACGACGGTACCAAGGAAAATGGAGCTCTGGAATGCTGGCTGATTACTGCTGGGGTCTTAAAAAAGATTTACCTGAAGCCAAATACTCGCGCAAATCACAGTAATCAAAATTAACTATGTATATATATAAAGAAAGTTATATTTAATTGAGTTTTTGAGCAGTGGATATAGAAATATATGTTTCAGTGTCACAAAAAAACGTGACGTGTCAGATCTTTTTTATTAATAAATTCGTGTTAGGAGTCCATAGTACTATCATAATTAGACAAAAACTTTCGTGTGACAAAACAAAATTTTAATTTTGTAGACCAGTGTTATAAGTCTCGTTAATCGGTTAGTATTTTCGATTATTTCCTATGCTCTTGTGGTATTATAACTGATTATTAGTGTCGATGGGTGACTGAGGATCCATGGGCGGCTAACCTTAATTGGGATAAAACTTTAACAATTTTTAACTTGATAATTAAAAAGTTCCTGACAAAACTCTATTAAAAAAAGTTGTTGAGTTTAATGAGCTCTGTAACTGATTAAAATTAATGTACTTATTTCTGAGACATGCTGTATGTTAAAAAACACCGAAGTTTCTAGTAAAAGTGGTTAACAGCGGTTAGTTAATAGCAAATGAGTTTGATTATTATTAAACACTTAGCAAACAGTGTCCTGCATTCATTTTTTATACTGAAAAGTCTTTGAAGTTATTTTTATAATGGATCTCAAACAATGAGGTTTCCCGATCCCATTTATACATATATGCCTTTATTAAACCTCTTCCACTTTTATTATAAAGCTATGAAAATTCCGTTCTTCCGTACCTGGTCCTATCCCGTTTCATCTATTATAAATATGCAAATATAATTGAAAGTAAGAAGACAGACGCCGTTTCGGTTAAACAAAAAGTGAATTGTTGGGAGGAAATAAAAAACGAATTTAATGCAATAACTACAGGAAGGGCCTAGGAATGTTCAGTCGCTCAAGACTTTTTATCAGAATATGTAGAGATGTTTATTTTATTTTATTTTTTTTTTTTTTATTATTTTATTAGTTAACGTTACCCAACAGGCCGGAGGCCCAATTACAGGGTAACGGGGGACATACACAACACCCAGAGCAGGGCGGGAATCGAACCCACGACCCAAGGTGTGGCAGGCAAGCGCGATGCTACCTAACCCACCCGGGTCCTCAGGTTTAAAAAAGGAACGGGCTGAAAAGAATGTAATTTACAAATGTAATGTAGAATATTTTAGTACGAGGGTGGGGTGACAAGTACCGGGCCTCACATAGATGTGGGAGTGATAAGATCAGTATTAGAGAGAGGATTTTATGAAATTTGCATATCCGTTATTTTTTGCATATAAGTCTTGATATGTGAACGAATCATGCTAATTAAAAATGAATACAGTTATAAAAAAATTGCATATTTGCATATATTTGCCGTCTGCTGCATATTTCACGTAACGTTTGCATATTTTGCATTTTTATCAATTTTTGTGCTAATTTAAAAAAAACATGATTGTCGTTCTACTGGCATTTATCTAGAAAGACGCAATTTTATGAATCATATTGCAAATATTGCCCTGAGCTTCAAATAATTAGGAGAGGTTTGGGTTTTGTGGTAGTTTGGAGAAACCACTGGGTGTTAAGCTATCCTTCCGGGTAAATTCGCGCCCTAATTACTTTTGGAAATAAGTTCATTCCCAATATTTTTGTTCGTTACTTCAGTGTATTAATGGTATGTTTTGTGGTTGTCGAAGGGACGTTATCCTATTATTTTTATCGTGAGTTAGCATTGAAAACATTTAAAGCGATACAGGTGTGTCAATATGTCGATGATAACTAAAATTAATTTATGAATTAAACCTTTTCTTGAACTTATTCTTCAAGAAGGAACTGTGTTTTGTCGCGCCTGCTCTAGACCGGTAAGTATTTTTATATCTGTGGACCTAGTACGCAGTTTTTCTATTTACAAATACATACTATAGAATCAGCGGAAAAACTTTTTGTTAGAATATTTCGAAAAATATCTAAAAAGAAATTGTTATCAAAATAGTAATTAAATAATCGATTGCTACTATTTTTTAATTTGTTATGCTTGTATTTATTTTTAAGTATAAGAATATTATTATTAAAAGTGTGATTTATGTGTTAGTGAGATGTAGTTAGTAAACACTTTGCAATGTGATTCATGTATTTTTTATAATAAAACGTAAGTTCAGGAAACCTGTTTTTGTAATTTGTAAATAAATTTAGTTCGTTCATTAAGCTTTTTTTTTAATTTTTGGAGCATATGCAACTGCATGTCTCTGCATATGATATGAAAGTTACTGCATATTTGCATAAATTTGGTGCATATCATATGCTCATATTTCCCAATATTTTGCTGCATATTTTCCGCTCTCTGATCAGTATAATGATGGCATTCCATAATTTCATCTTCCATCAGCTTCCCTTAAAAATTTCATGTCAATATGTCGTTTAGTAGTTGGATGGCAGTCCTTCAGATTAGATGCATCAAACAAAATGGAAAAAGTGGAAATTCGGCCAGTGATTAATTTTTTTTTTTTTGAAACGCCTAAAAGCAAGTGAGATCAACAAAGAGTTGGATACAACATTGGGAGACTCCTCTCCATCGTATACAACAATTAAGTGATGGGTTGCTAAATTTAAAATGGGCCGAATCAGCACAAATAATGAACCACGCAGTGGGCACCCTATTGAGGTGACCCCTCCAGAAATTACAGAAAAAAATCATAAAATCATCTTGGCTGACCGGAGAGTGAAAGTGAGGGAGGTAGCAGAATCAATAAGGATCACAACAGAGCGTATTCGAAATATTTTACATGAACACTTAACAATGAAAAAGCTTTGCGCCAGGTGGGTGCCGCGTTTGCTCGCTC